TCGTTGAGTGATAATTGCACACTGTGCAATTACCGCTGTAATTTTTCGATAATTGCACACTTCAAACGGACAGATTATCATACGAAGGAAATATTCACTATAAGATACTTTGTGAAAATAGCTTTTCTTCTATTTAAACCAAGAAAACGTAAAATGAGGAAAAAATGGGGAGCATTGTTTTAATGCATAGTTCAATTTCTTTAAAAAACTCAATGATGGACAGGACCTCGGTCGTTTTTTTCTGCCCACTAGTTCATTAAAAATTAACCACCCTGTATATTTATAAAATAAAGTATCAAATACAAATATAGCTGAATTTTCTGAGCTTCAGATATTATGTTACTCTACGGGGTTCAGTTAAACGTATAAACTGAACCAAAACAAACGCGATAAAACGGTTTGGGTAATAAGCCAAAAAAAGAAACAATACTTTGAAAAATAAATCGTGATGTTGATAGTCAAATGGATAGAGTAAAAATTTTTAAAAAAACTTAACATTGGTGATTACTGAAGTCGATTTGGATGTGTCTTTGGATAAAAATGGTTATCTAGAATGTCCCTAGTGCAGTGATTCGCTTGTTGCAAAAACAGTCAATGCATTGTTAAAATAACGTTATTTTTAGTTATTTTTCTCTAGCTGCTAACTAAAAACATCGATACATTTTTATCTTTATAGCCTCTAGTTCTTCATAATAACATCTAAAAGTTTGGGGAGATCAAAACATTGGGGAGACAGGAGACAGACCATACCGAATTTTCCAAATATTTATTTACTTGTTGGTAACATGGTAAAAACGCTTAAGTGGCATGTTATGGAATACACCGATAAGAAAAATATAAATTTATTTCCAATTTTCTTTTCCAAATTAAGCAACAAACGTTACCCACCCCGTTCTGACCCGCCCGTTCTTACATAAGCTGAATAATGCAAAATTATTCCTGCAAATTTATCAGACTCATAAAATCAAAGAGCAATAAAACAATTCCCAAAGAACCCAAAAGTTGTTTTTTCAGACCTCCCAGAAAACTACGTGTGTGACAACTCGCAACCAGAGGAAACCTTTTTCTTTATCAAAAATCGATCTGTTTACCGATCAAAGACATCCGTCAGCAAGGTACCACTTTCCTGGTGTTATTCGTTATGTTAATGACCTAAGATCAATCAGAGCCATTGTTCTACCTTTTAGGAACCCTCGATAATTAGGTGGCTACTGTATTATTTGGGTTCAATCTTGATAAGGAACTAGACTAAATTTCAATCAAATAAAGCGGATTTAATTTGAATAGAGGTATGTATTAATTGTGTGGATAAGCAGCCGCATTTCGAATGGAATTTTGATGATATAACATTCAAGACAGTTACTGTCGGAGTAAAAGATAATTTGGCCAGATGGAACACGTCGATTGTTTACGAGCATCGGATAGTACTGCAGTTTTTGTAACATTTTAATTACTTCATATACAAATTATCTTAACTGATTTGGTGTTAAATTGGGTTTAGTGGGTTTGCAGCAGACTTACAAGCGCCGAACTTTGTCTCTTTTTTTAATCCGAGCAAGTAATTCAAATAAATTCCTGAAAATTTCAGGATTTTGAAGAACATGATGTACTTGTAATTATCTCGTTTTGATAATACAAAGTTTAAAGATTCCGACTATTGTACTGAAAGGGCCTTCCAATTAACTCTGCCGGTAAATTGGCCAGGAAAAAACCCTCGTATCAAAGCTGTAAATACCGATTATTATTTAAATCAATCAAACAAAACTCTTAACTGAGTCTTAAACCGCAAGAAAGTATCGTATTACCGGCTGCCCACAGCGTTCAACTTGTGTGGTCCTCCGTTTCAACCAGATTCAGATTCATTTCATTTCCACTACAGTAGGACTGCTAGTTAGTTGGTTTTAAAATTGAATTGTGGCGACACCTATAGAACATCATGTGAACCAATTTAGCAAACTGGGCATTTTACATTTAGATTCTGAAAATTTTGTTTTTCTCCGGGTTATCAGTCACTGTTAACTAGTGGGCTGCCGCTTAATTATTACTCTAAATTTCTCTTTGTTGTGCATTTGTCACGTTTTAATTATTCCATTATATTTAATGGCATACATACAATATGGCAGACTGGCAAGAAAAGTTTAGAGAGCACGGAATTGGGAGAAATATTACTAAATAAAAGAAAAAGAGCTCACAAGATGAATGTCAAATTGAGTTTCGTTTCAAAGATTTCATTTTCATAATAAAAACAACTAAACAATGGCATGCAACACTAAATCTTAAATAACTGAAAAAACTCTATAAGCTTTTCTACTCAATGGAAAGTGAATTCCCTAAGAGCAATTTTAGATAATACCTAAGTAAAGATCTAAAAGGCAATAAGCCTGTACTTTAAATTGCGGAATTTATTCCCAATTTTCTTCGAATGAAGACCACGAGTACTGATTTTTTTTTCAATATACATATAGAAAGTATCCCTACTTTCTAAAAAGCAAGACATTTCAATCTAAGCTAATTATTTCCAAATGCGATACTGAGCTTAGTGATCAACTCAAAAAAATGCTTGCAATTTCAGACCTGCAGTCTCAATCAGGATAATTGAACCTTGTATTGAATAAGTGTTTTCTCAAGCGCAGCTGAAGTGAAACCAACAACACTAAAAGAACATTATTCGAAAGAAAAGAAAACTCACTCTCCCATACATTTCATGAAAGGAAACAATATAAATCACCCTGCGGTTTGCAGTCCATTTCATTAGGCCTTGCTATCACATTCATCACTTTCCTTCTCGAGCAAACCATTACATCAGATCAACATTTACATCAATTGTAATCCCGCTAATGCAGTCGATAAATTATTCTGAGATTTAAAATCAAAATTACAATCGGCAACTCGATTGGTTGAACTTAATTATAACTGCTTACCAGCAGGTTACAAAATGAACGGATAATTAGGAATAATTTCTCGGTAGAATCAGCGCCGTGGAAGACCGGTAGTTAATCTAAGATGATTATTGTCTTAAGAATTGCATAATTGCTAGCTGCTCTTTGCGGGAAATGCAACGTAATTAAATTTTATGAAAAAATGTATACAAATCTGCCGTATATTAAAAAAAAACATTATTTAATAAATTTTTTGAATCTGAATTTGAATATCGAAACCATTATATAGATATGTTATTTTTCTTCGTTGCTGTGCACACATAAAATTGACTTGATTTTGGTCTCAGCAGTTCAAATTTAAGATTTAAATTCGTTGATTTTAAAAAAAGTGATTGCAAAATATACAAGTTGCAACTTTTTAAAATTCAAGCTTGAACAGCTACATGGTGAGCTTTTACGCCAGCGGAAAAAACCCAATTTTACGATCATCTGAAATGTAAGAGATACCAGACAGACCAAAAGGAGGAAGAAAAAATCGAAATTAAGTTTTCGTTAGGGTATTTTTGGTTTGGTTGTTTAGTTTTGGTCGTTAATTGTTTTTTAACAGAAAGCACGGAAATATCGGAAACTGAAAATGAGACAAAGTTGGTGGAATGGAAAAAGTTCAGCAATAAAAAAGCTGATCAAATAACGCTTTGAAGCTTCTGCCATAAATTTGATTATTTTTCGGTGGAATTTTAAGAGTTAGAGTACAACCGACCAAAGATACACCTACCGTACAATATCAACTTTCAGTCAGCTTTAAAACCGCAGCATGAGTTTGATTCTTCGACGTTTCGTTTTTAACAAACCATCATCAGCTTCCTTGTCTTAGATGCGGCTCTGTTTGTTTAGTAGCAAAATCGATTAAATATTTTTAATCAATTATGTATGTACAAGGTGAGCAAGAGCTAGATTAAGCTTAAATAAGGCTTAACGTAGAAAATGTGAACCGTTTTTGATATAACGTATTGTATAAATTTTGTACTGCCGCCTTATTAATTGTTATTCAAGCTACAGAATTTATGAATTTCCTGAAAATATTTTTCTACTACTTAACTACTCAAATTGAAATGACATGCAAATTTATACAGCCGATATATAAGATAGGTATGTCCAAAAACTTTTGATTCAAATTTCTGGTTTAATTTAAATGGGACACTCCATATAGTTCATACTCACGCCAACGGGGAGAAATTTTCATTTTGCACTCACTGATGTGCAGCATATGGAGTGTTAAAAATTTAAAATTAGCAGGAAATTTCAGTCAAAAATGGTTTAATTTTGAAACGTGATTCTTGGGACATCCTGTGTAAATTTCCTAAACAACGGAATCTGGATTATGTAGTAAACGAGTCCCTGTATTAAAACCACAAATTATGCAGCGAGAATAACTACTGCATTTTTGAACTTTGGATTAAATTTTCACATTTTTTCATTTTATATCTGGTAATGGTTTACACTTTCTATTAAATTCCTTATTAAAATTTTTGTCTGTTATTTATAAGGAATTCCACTAAAAATAACATATGATCAGGGCACCTCTGTCACCAAAAATTGGATTTGTAATACTATTATACTTCAGGGTCACCCTGTATATTATATTAACGTTTGATTATGTTTTAATCAGTTTTTTAATAAATATGCAAAATGTTGTTTATGGGTGCTTACGCTGTGGGATATGTATTGATATTGACTTGAAGTTGCAAAAAATGTATTAATTATCTGCCATTTTACCCATCCGAGAATATTAACGTAACAGATTAAGTGTTGATAAGTTTGCATAAATATATTGCAAGAAAAATTTAATGGATAATAACTAAAGTGGCGAAGGCCCAGGTACAGGTCTGTGTTCACACTTTTCTGGCTATTAATATACGAAAATTAATCGAAACACAAGATCAAGTTATTCTTTGGCGAATTGACGAAGGAAAGAGTTTATTAAAACAAACGTAAAACAAAAAGAAAAAGTGAAACCAGTGAAATCTGTACAAACTATTGTTTAATTTTTTTTTTAACAGCTTATGTTATGTGTCTTTTAATTGGCCAATTTGGCCATTGGAACAACTTCCTGTAATTTACCTACTGTTTCCGATGTCTCCAAATTGGCCTTTCCTATCTTCGAAATAAATAGGTATAGACACGGAGACAAATAATACGGTTAAATACAATATAAGTAATATTAAATATATGTACAAAGTAGTTTTTTTAGTGATGAGCGGATTAATTATGCGAATATTTTATTTGTTTCCGTCATGTTTCCTTCGAGGTTTCCTGCTTATTTATATATTGAGTCTTACATTCTGTGCGCAGTGGTAAACTGCAGAAAAATAATATAACAAATGGCAGTTTCGGTAACAACTGCTTTATATATGATGATACGTGAAAAAACCATTACTGATGTGATACGTTAATCTACATCTATGTGCATACACAAGTGTAATATAAGGCATGTTCACTTTCTGTTGATTTTAATCAATAAGTCATTCGAACAGCAATTATATTTTTGGGCCACCATTCCATGATGATTATTAAGTAAAATGTTCTTACCAGAGCTGGGTCGATCAGAGTATCTGGTGCAATACACCCAAGCTGGCCATAACTTAGGAACCGTGGACTCATCTTTCTTCGCGTCTTCGGTGCTGAGTACACTACTAGGACTCGCTAAGGGTGGACTTCGTGAATTACGAACAATAATGCCGCCTCCGCTGGAGCTGCCCGGGGAGAAAAGACTCGCGTTTGAAGTGGATGAACCGATCTGTGATACAGTTTGACATAACGATCCCAAAGGTGGAACCCCGAATGACTTTTTCTGGTCATTAGCGATACTTTCGTAGGGCCGAAAGCTAACCTTCTCGGTGAATTTACTTTGAAAAATTGCATTTTTTCCAAAGTCTGGCTGCAAGATATTGGTAATTGAGTATTTTAAGGTGTGGATGATTGGCTCGTTACTGGATGAAGATGACACGCTCGAAGCGACACTGTCGATAGGAGATGCTGATCTATAGCTTATAGGCGAATGCCTGTCGTATTCCCGCTTTGGACTCGGTAGAGCGTACGAAGCGATCCGGAAAAATGACCTCTCAGGATGCTCCATCTTCGGAACCACCAAGTTTTTCGGAGATTCTTCATCTGATCGTGAACTATAAGAGTGGTGGTTTTGACTGTTGGGAATTGTTATGCAAGTAAATGGTGAAGTTCTTGTACTTTCGGGCGAATTCGGAGTGTTAAATTTACCTCCACAGTCACTAGTGCAAGGACTGGTCGCTGTATCTGGACTTGATCTGTCTTCAAATGCCATTTTAGGATCACTTGTGAAAACTAGTCTAATTTATGAACACTGAGATGTACTATATATAGCCCTTAAACACATGAAAATGTCAAAAGTCACTGGCTTTTACACACACTGGACATAATCACCGTAGCCAATTAGCTGACGTTACTGAGCGCTGTCAAATGTCCCTTCAACTGATCTATCTATAAGACTCCTGAGTGACACTTGACTCTGGCAACGCGAGTGAGTGTTCACCAGCAAAACGGATCTGTCAAACTGAAGTAAGATTTCAAAATAGTCATCTTTATTACTGGGACAGTCTGTGATCCGCTTGCTCCGCCCTCTAAAGCATGCGCCCCGGTTCAACCACACGATATGTCCAATGCCTCGCTCTGTTGCACTCTTACAGTGAGGGGTGAGGTGAAGCAACTTCTTACCACTTCAGGCTTTCTCACTTTCTCACCAACAAAGTCTGTCGTGCCATCCTTCTCGATGAAATGGATATATAGAATGGCTGTATTTGTTTTTTACAAGTGGCGATTAATTTGAAGTTTTTTTGAAATATTATTATATTAATAATGCTAATAAAGGTGTTCGTCAAGATACATTGTGGGTTTGAACGGCAATTTTACCATACCAGGGCTACAAGCGAATAAATGAAATTAATTGATTTCTCTGAGTCGGTTTACACCATCGTTAAGAGCAACGTCTATGAATGTTTTAATGAACGCACACACAATTAAAAGCTAGTTAGTTCAATTAATTAATGTTTTAAGTGGGAAATTGATTAATGGTATTTCGTGATATTGTGAATTAAAAATTGCTTCTGACACCAGAGGAATCTGAAGCGTAAATATGCGACGAGAATATTTATTTGTCTGAGGAACTAAATGTAATGGGAAAAACCATACAATAGCATCGACTATCATGATTATTTCGTAAATTCTATTATTATTTTCGTAAATTTTGAAAATGTATTTAATATTTAAAAATTGCAATGTCTATAGGTATGCAGCAAAGACTATTTTAATTGCGGGGATTAAGTTTTTAAAGACCACTCGTCATGGGCTGTTAGGCGAAAATTGTCTTACTCATTTGGTTTAGCTTTAAAATGTTACATTTTTGAATTGCAAGTAAAATGTTAATTTTAAAGTTTGCTAGCCTCTTATTAAATTTAAATATTGAGAAATATTTAAATAAACACATCTGCAAAATACCTACTACTATTTTGAACATATTTTATACAAATAATTTCGGACAAATTTTAATAATAATTTTTTAAATGTTATCATTAAAATTGGGCCCTCAAAAGAAAGAAGGCATTCAGAGCCGCGATTGTTTAAACCGGTTGAAAGAGATTTACGATAAAATGATAGATATATAATAAATCAACTCAAAACTAAGCACAATTTTAAATTTTGATTTGAAGATAGCACAACCACACAACTTTTTTTTTGATCTGGTGTCGAGACACCACATCAAATGTCATATCCTGTAGTATTTTTATCTGCTGAAGAACCATTCAGGCGGAAAAAATCTACACATCTGTACGCTTGGTTCAAATGAGACGAAATGGACTGATTCAGTTCAGCTCTTTTGGTCATCGAGATATTTGCAGTTTTTGGAAAACCATATTTTCGCGATTTTCTCGACAACTATGAAACCTGGATCGTTGGCCAAAATACCGTTGGGAAGTGCTCGATGAACTATAAAAAATAACTATTTCGATAGGAAGCTCCATTTTCGAGGAAAAAAATTAAATATAAAATTTCGAAAAAATCGCCCACCCCTGCAAAATTTTAGACGAAAATTTTGTTCATATTTTTTCGATATAGAAAAGTTACATGACAAATGTACTTTGGTTGGTTCAAAGAAAAAAAGTTTATACGGGCTGAGGCCCTTATGGAGGCGAAATTTTCAAAATTGAATAAAAAAGGACGCATTTTTGTGTGTAAATAAATTTCACCACATCAGGATTTAGCATGATTTTATCTTAGAGTTTCGTTTCCTTTGAGTCAAGTTTATTTTAGAAACGATGCAAGTTTTTACTTGCTCCCGCTTGGAAGTTATAGATGCTTAAAAGAGATTTTATTTTAAAATCAATATTTACCCAGCCGACAAACGCAGATGCTGAATATTTTGATGAAATTTTAGCCGGTTTTAGCTCGAAGTTTTCTGAATAAGTTCTGAATAATAAGTAAAATTCTCAAGTTTCGACTTGTTTTACGTTGGAAACTGGATAGTTTTAAAAGCACTTTTCTGGCAACCTGCAAGCTATATGTACATTTCTAAAGCAGGCTTTGAAGTAATTTTTACAAAAATTTCGCACAATCTTGCGTCCAGTTTTTTGTTTCGTTTTTCGCCAAGTCACTTCAGAAGCCTGTGAAGATTTCAAGTTTTGCTTGTCTTCAATTCGGCATTTCGGACAGTTGAACTAAAACTTTGAAGATTATAAGAATGAACTTGAAAGTTTCAAGTTCGTACTAATTCTTTCCTATGGTATTATCCTGGCAAAAATCACGGTTTTACTCGATTTGATTCAAATTTCCTGAACCTTTGGAAATAGAACTTGAAAGTTTCAAGTTTTGTTGATTGACGAAAGTATTAATCATTGAATCTATTCTCACTGTTTTTATCGTTTTGCACCATTCTCTGTTCAAATAAATTATACCTATGATCCTAAGATGTTTGTTTGATTCATTTTACGTTATCTACGCGAATATACTATTATGTATGAGATAGGTATTTTTACAGTTGTAAGGCTTTTGAAAGAAACTGGGGTTTCAAGACAGAAATAGTGAATTTGCTTCGGTACTGTTCCTAGGGATTAGGTATACTTGATAAGCTCAAATGATACTAGGACAAACCCATATAATTACCATAATTTTAATGTGAGACGTGTGAGTTTTTGCACCAAAATGACCAAAATAGCAGAAAGTTGACAAACTGCGGCTATTTACTATTAGGAATTTCCAACAATAAGCTAGGAGTAAAACACAGTTATTCAAAGAAAACAGCTTGTGAAGGGAATCCATGTCAGAAAAAAATCTGTTTGCAAGTCGATATTTTCGGTAGTAATTCCGAGAGCTTTACGAAATGGTAAAACCCAGAAGAAAGAATATATATGAGTTATTCAGAGTAACCACAATCAGGACAATCAACCCATTCGGCTTTTGAAAAACTGCCAAGAACTAAGATCGAATTATAAAGTCACAAAGTGAGACAAATAACACTACATTATTACATTTAATGTTTGCTTATTTTTCTTGTAATTTATAACGTTTGCCTGGGTTTCAGCCATTTGCTACTACATTGATAAACTAGTGCTTCAATTTAAAAATAACTCGTTGTTTTTCCATCATCCTCGGGTCATCTAAAGCAAATAATTGTTTGTTTTAGTACACCAGCACATCAGCTCAAGACGTAACAAAGTATATTTAAACTTTGGTTTTATTCCTGGTAGATTGTAAACATCCTTTACTCCTCAATTCGATTAGCTACTAGTAGGTAAACTAATTCCAATTGTCCAATTAGGTAGCGTCGACGTTTTTGTCTTATCACGGTGATTATTCATCCCATGGTTTGTCTCTATTCCAATCACAATCGAGATGTAAAATTAAATAGGTGTAAAGTGAAGTGAAATCACCAAACCTCAATAGGTCATTATCAGATCTTAAAAGCCTGCTTATTTCGCTTATTCAGCAGAAAATGAGATGCGTTAATTGTAAAATCACATACGTTTTCAATATTACTTATGTGCTAATGGATCCAATGTATAAAATCTTTCATAAACACATACAGTAAGGACAAACATGATAATATAGCAAACAATGTTGATGGAAGTACGTTTGGCAAGACAGTCATAAAATTATCCAAAATCACGATCGAATGACGATTTTACAACCATATTATTGTACTTAATTACACGAATATAATAATTCACTGCTCCAGAACCAATCACTTGCCTGTCCTTATTGGCAAGTTTAATTGAATTGTTAATACTTCAAAGATCTTATCGTTGCACGTCCGTAATTCAGAAAGCCCATACTTATATTATTATATGGGTACTACTAGTACCAGTTTCGTATAGATCTTATCAGCTCAAGCTGGTACTTCAGACGTACTGTATAATTATTGTGTTAATACTATAAATAATTGGTTGGTGGTTATTTTAGCGCATCATTTTGCTACAATCATTAATGAATCAACAATAACTAATTCTGTCATTTCATTCGTCGATTATGTGATTTTTGCCCGAGTTTGTTCAGCTTCGTACCGATTTTGTCCTTTCACTGGTTTTATCAAGGTGATTTCTATTTCCATTAATATTACTGATTTATGGGTATCAGTCTTGGCGTCACGGTCAGCATTAGATGAAAATTCATATTTTCTAAAGACTATTATTTATGAATTCAGGGTTTGAAAATTCAAAATGAAAGGGATTTTTTGCGGACAAATAATTTTTAATTTTTGGAATAAGAAAAAGTTATTTGTCCGCTTAAAAAAGGCTTAAAATTTTATTTTAACTATTATTTATATTTTACATTTTGCAAATGTAAGGCTTGTTATCTGATTGCCACTTTGATTAATTTAAATACTAATCAACGTTAGGTCAAAAACGTTTCGGGTGTTTTTTAAAAGATGTCCCGAATTTCATAGAACGATGTCTCAGATATTTTTAAGGTATAAAGTCCATATAGGTATGAATCTGCATGTTTTACTTACTTCAATTTTTGTTTTTACACGTAATTTTAATTTAACGTCGATATTTGGACAAAACTTGTCATTTTGGGGTTTTGCATCATAAGAAATTTGACTCGATAACTTTGAATCAACATAGTTTTTTGCACGGAACAGTTATACCTACCTAATTCTTCAAAAGAAACAATAGCATGTGGGTACTGGCGTCTACCTACATGTAGGTAAGCGAAAAGTAAGTACCTATCCAATTTAAATTTCTCATGCTAAATAACCCCGAAATAATAAGTTTCGTCTCTGGAGCGATATTAATTAAAAAATACTAAGAAAACACGAAAAGGAAAATAACATATTTCTGACCATCTGGCTTGATAAGTCCTAAAGCTTGGCAGACCGATTCAATATGCATATGGTCAACAGGTATGGAGTTTTTATATTTACAAGACCTAAGGAAACGTCCTGTGAATTATTGGAGGAAATCCGAATCGGACCATTTCCAACTGCCCTCAATTAAAAAGGAAAAAAAAGAATCAAATTGAATTTTCCAGTTTAATTGTAGCTGCGCCTTCAATAATGCAGTTTTTATTTCTTAATAAACTGAAGAAGG